GCGAAGCTTCCATAGAAGCCCACATGTCGAAAAAATGGCGGCCCATGGGGCTGTTTTAGCGCCATCTATGAGTCGCGGGGACACTTCCGGCGGAACAAAAAATAAACAGGAAATGACGAAACTTCCGGAAAAAAACGTGACGTCATGCCTGCGTGCGGTTTGGCGCGAAAATTAAAAATAATTCCAGAGACTACAGGTAAAATGAACGACATAAACACTAAAAAGTCTCAAACATAGCTCCGTGTTTCAGCTTTGTTTGATACTTTTTAGTGTGCATGTCGTTCTTTTTACCTGCAGTCTCGGTTTTTCTTGGGATGTTTACATCTTGTGTTTATACTCGATCGTTTACGCCCTTCTTTGCCCTTGCTCTTATATTTTGTTCGAAACATTTTTTTCTGCAGCCGACTTTGTTAGCCGACCTGCTATGAGAGTAGTTTCATTTAGTCACACGTGTCTTTGCTCTGTGGTTGAACTCGAGCCGCAGTGTTTTGCCCTTTTTTCCTTCAGGATCCCTCGGAAATATGTGAGAAACCTTAAAGCGAATGGCGTACTGTCACAGAAAAAAGAGTGAATGAAATCGCTGGAGTGTGTTGGGCATATGAAATACACAACAGTAACTCTAATGCAAGTGCAACGTTGTATTAACAGTCGCGCTTTATTTGTTTTATTCACTTACAAACATTCAATCAGATCACTCACTAGAATCATACAATCGGTATCCACTATTTTGGAAGTGTCATAGTGCAAGAAAACTAGTAGATCGGTACATAAGGCACATTATAATATAATAAGACAATGTACAATCGGTTGGATGTTGTGAGGACATTGACAGTTCATAGGCAGCCACTAATAACTCAGAGGTTTCACGGTGTTCCGAGGAGAACTGCAATCCCCACTGTAATACACAGAAAAAAAAACTACACTTGTCTACGTGGCTCTTGGGCAAGGTACCATAATGCTGAAAATATTTTAACTTGCATCTGCTGGTGCTGCTACACTGCAACGGAACGATTGTTCGGTGCAGGTCAAGGAAGCCAAGTGGAGTAAACCATCTTGGAGCCCTGTGGTATGCTGCACTTCACAAGCCAGTGTAGCTTCACAGATTTAAGCGCTATATATGTGAATCAGTTAGAAGACTACATTTCTCCTGAAAACCTGAAGAAAATGAAATTACAAATAGAACATGCCTACACTGCTTTAAATATAGCCCGGGTGGTCTCACGTACCTAGCCTGTGCACTTGCTGCCTCGCTTTACACTTTGCTGCTGCTGTATCAAATAGTTCAACATTTTTTTTCCGCGCGAACCAGTGGAGCCTGACTCTGGCAATTAGAGAAAACAAATCATCATAAACACTTTCGTTGCATACAGTCAGAGACTTTGGAACCTTCTGGTGAAAAAGGACACACAGAGTACGCCCTATGCTCTCTTTTGAAATTAGGTTGCTGATACTTGTCTCGAAGACTTCCTCACAAGCTGCAACAAATAATCGGAAAGAAGCAGAAGGGACTGAGAGGTTTCCGAAGTCGGAGTCGGCAGTGCCTTTCACACTTAAATACAAGAGCACTTGATTTCCTTCAGAAAAACACGCATTTTCTGTCCTCAGCTCACATTTCTCAGATGTTCCCACACAGGAATGAACCTTGAGGAATTTCGATGCCAGCCACCCAGAAAAATAAACCATGTTGTTCTCTTCTATTGCCGAAGGGTAGTTTGAAGGCGAATCGTCTGCCGTGTCAAGAAAAACTGTGCTCCCTAAGGCAAGAGGAGAAGAAGGTGCCAAAAGGCCTGCTGGGAACGTAGCAAGGTGAGACATCATGTCGTCAGCACAGTTTGATTTTTCCGAGAGTTTGAATAGGTTGCTAATCAAAAGGTGCCTGAACGCAGCCTGAAATTGACGGGAAGTGGAGTTCGTGTTTTTGCTCCGGATTTTGAACGTATAACAGCAGAAGTGTTTTCAAGGGCGCCTTGGTTCAAATGGCGGGTTAAAAGGTAGGAAAAACCGTAATTAACCCTGAGGTGATTGCTGAGCAGCAGCAGTGACCTAACTGTCAAGCAGAAGCCACGAATGCAATGCAGTGCGGCTGCCTTCTACACCCGAGTATTGCAGGCTTTTAAACACCAGAATGCACTCTTCCAGAAACTCCTCATGAATAGAGCCGTTACACATGGCAGAGGCATATGGCGTCTTTGCAAATTTCTGAGAGCTATTTAGGCTGTCAAAGAGACGGTCAATTCTTTCAACAAATCTCGCTGTGTGAACAGCTGTGGCTGGCAATTGCTGAAAAGTAACAAGGGCATACATTGCAGCTGCGCAGTGATTGCTGAAAACTTGAGCTGCTAGCTTCACCGACATCTTTGACGAGAACGTCAAATTAAAATGCTTATCGTTCAGCTTCGGCATAGACCGGATCTCAAGTTTACGGTCCTTTTCATAAGCTTCCTTGATGTAGGAAATTTTCACTAGGTAATCACCAGCTTTGAAGTCGTATTTGAACAACATGTTTCTAAGGCACTTCAAAAGGTGCGGAGCATCGAAAAGGAAAAAAAGTGGCTTGCCATTGATCTCTACGTAAGGCTTTTCGGTAGTTACAATGCTTGAAAAAAGAGACACGTTCTGGCTCCCTTGATCGCATACAACAGCTACCGGCTCCAGGCCAGCGTCCACAAGGGTGTTGTAGCACTGGAAAAGGAGATCTTTTAGGAAATCTGAAGGTGTGCCTTTGTGAGTAAAAAAAAAATAGCCAAGTGGCTGCTTCCACGGTGTTCCGACTCCTTCTGCCATGAACATGAGAGCCTTGTTTGCCAGCTTTTTGCCTTGCTGTCCACTATGTTCTTCAAGTCCTTCAAACCTGTCAGACGAGGGGTTGTATGAAAGCTCTTTTTTGATGTGCATTTCATCAAACACTATGCTGCAGGCCCGATCGGCTCGAGAAAAAGAAGCTGCCCGCCTCTTTATGAGCTCAAAAATGTCAGAATAAAATCCAACCCTCAGTGGCACACGCTGAAGCCATAGCTGCAGTGACCTAACTGATGGCAGCCTGAGCAGTCGCCTGCAATACCTATAGCCTTTGGGGCTATGAAAGTAGAGGCCTAAAGCCAAGGCTTTGTTGTGGCTGCACCATCTCCGGCCAAACCGGCTCACATTGCTCATTTTAAGCTGGGCTTCAACGAGTGCAGCGACGGCAGGAGACACATGAGCGCGGACACTCTCAACGACTTCGGCCACAGTCCTCATCTGACGTTGTCGTTGCAGCCTTCTTTGGAGCCTCTTGTTGCGCTCTTGAAGCTGTCGCACCTTGGCTCTCATGGCGTTCATCTTCTTGTCGATGCTGCGGCTTTTGCCCGGTGCTGCAATTTGACAAATGACCCAGATCAGGTCTCCAAGAAAAACTTGCATTCGCCACCAATTTATTAAATGTGTAATCCATTCACACTCAAGAATACTCCTCAACGATTTAAAGTGTTTTTAAACAAGAACATCAAGTATGACAGACTACACATATGCAATTCAAGTTAAGGATAGCAGCACATCTTTATGTCGGTCTAGGCGCTTCATGCTGGCCAGAGACCTCATAGTCCAAAAAGACAAGGGCGCACACAGAAGCATGCAAGTCAGAATAAGCATCCAAACTGTGAAATGCATTTTCTTAAAGCTTGACCATACCTTACTTAGGCCCATGGCATAAGTAACAGGGAAGCGCTCGCAAAAAAAAAGGCAACTAAGGTTTGTCAGATAGGACAATGGACCATGACAGGCTCAGCATCACACACGTGACCAGGGCAGCTTTTCAATAACTATAAAAACACTGTCTTACGTGAGGTTTTGCGGGAAGACTTATGATTCAGTGAAACCGGTTGAGCTCTTTTGATCCGATAGTGTTAACACCTGCCTGAGGAACATTTTTTGTCTTTTTGTGTGCTTGACGATGACAATACCATGAAACACAAAAATACGGTAAACTTTGAACAAACTTCGATTTGTAGCTGCCGGCTACCCGGTCTTGTGTTATGTGACTCCTTGCGCCATCAGCTGTCAAGATAAAGTTTAGTATCCGCTGGTGTTTTTCGAGCCTTGGCTTTTTTACTTTTGCGGTCTTACCTTTAATAATTTAAGAAAAAAAAAACCTGCAAAGAAAAAAGTTCGCATCATAGAAAGAACTCACATTTGTGAGAAGGCCCAGCAGCACAGCCAGAGAGAGAGTTTCTAGACGACGGTGAAGAAACCAAACTCTCCAAGTCAGCCACGTCCCCGCTGGACACTTGAGCAGGAGCAGCATCTTGAGGTAGAGCGTAGCTGTGATCAACTGGAAACAAAATGAAATAAATAAAGGCTTTTACAAAAACAGTATTGTAAGAAAGCAAGTTCAAGAGAGCGGAAAGTTGAGCGAGTTGGTTGTTCATCTTAGCTGGCAGAAACAGTGCCTCTCTGTGTACTTTTACAGCGCCTGTCTGTATACTCCTTGTGTCTTGTCCTTCTGCGCTCTTTTTACCAACTAAGAAAGCAAGCTCACAAAAAAGAATGGCACTAAAAGGATAGCACAAACAATATTCGGCCACCACTTACTATGGGCCCCTAGTGGACTATTCTTTAGTACGGCGCACGAGTATGTGTGGTCCAACGGAGCCGCAGAAATCCGCTCTGCAAATTGAATGTGAATTTAGCGAAGGAGAAGAGGAAGTCCCCCCTTATTCCCCTATTTGAACGCATAAAAAGGAAATTCACCTGCGTTCCATGACAGGTTTATTTCAGAAGACAGGTTGTCAGGGTTACCGCAGAAACTCCACCAGTCTGAGCGGCGGGAGTATGTGCAGCTCGATGGGGCTGGCGAACTGCTCTCTGCAAAATTAGCGTGAAGTTAGTCATGAAATAGTAGTTGAGTTCCTTCCTATGTGTCTATTCTAACACATGACAAGGAAAATCACCTTGTTCCCACGAAAGTTCCACCTCAGAAGACTGGTCGTCAGGGTGACCACAGGAACTCCGCGAGTCCGAGCGCCCCGAGTGCATGCAGCTCGATGAGGCTGGCGAACTGCTCTCTGCAAATTTAGCGTGAAGTTAGTCATGGAATAGTAGTTGAGTTCCTTCCTATGTGTCTATTCTAACACACGACAAGAAAAATCACCTTGTTCCCACAAAAGTTCCACCTCAGAAGACTGGTCGACAGGGTGACCACAGGAACTCCGCGAGTCTGAGCGGCCCGAGTACGTGCAGCTCGATGGGGCTGGCGAAATGCTCTCTGCAAATTTAACGTGAAGTTAGTCATGGAATAGTAGTTGAGTTCCTTCCTATGTGTCTATTCTAACACACGGCAAGGAAAATTACCTTGTTCCCACGAAAGCTCCATTTCGGAAGAATGGTCGTCAGGGTGACCTGAGAAGCTCCGTGACTCTGAACTGCCGAAGTATGTGCAGCTCGATGAGAGGGGCGAACTTAGCTCTGCAAATTTATGGTGAATTCACCTATTTTAATACAAAATGAAAATCACTTTCTTTCATGGGCAGCTTTATTTTGGAAGACTGGGTGGCGGCATGGCAAAAGATGCTCTGTGGACCGTATTGACGTTGATTATATCACCTCAAATAAAACATGTCATTATTAACGGGCTTGAAATGAACTTCTAGCAGTACCTCTGACCATGTTCTACCAGCTGTTTCCAGCTAATTTCACCTAGTCTTATTGCAAAATGCTGAGGTCATGAAGACCACGAGGTAATGCTGGGGTGCTATGTTGCGCTTTTTGCACTCCCAGGAGACTTGGAAGAGGGAAGTGACGTCAACGACACAGCAAACGCAGATTGGGTGTTGACAGAAGAAAACGAAATCAACACCCAATCTGCGTTTGCTGTGTCGTTGACGTCACTTCCCTCTCCCTAGTCTCCTGGGAGTGCAAAAAGCGCAACATAGCCCCCCCAGTAGTGCTGGCAGTTGCTGCTACTTTATGTTAGTTACAGTGAAAAAGCTCACCATGCACAACTGCTGAACCAGGAGAGCTTTTGCTGGAAATGTCCCCACGCGTCGTCTCTGCAAATAATATAAAAGGGTTATGAGCCCACAGAAGAAATATTTCAGCCCCATGTGGCTGAAATATTTTACTATTTTTCTAAGAGCAGGTTAGCCATGCTTAGTCACAAAGTTGCCAGTTAGCGCTCTTTCCTGTCTCTCGTTCTTCCCTCCGTCGTCCTTGCGCTATTTTTAATTATGCACGGAAAGTTTATTGGTCTGCTTACCTTTTGTGGGAAGAACACTTGGCAACGCATTGTGACGGAGGTGTCCAGGCCGCAAGAAAGCCGACTCCTCGAAATGTAATGAGCAAACTACCCTGTCTCGTAGCTGCCATGGAGTCTTCCCCTGTAGACTTCGGTTGTTGCAAAACCGAACCCAGACTTCGCGCCTGCAGATAAGGCATGGTGTTATGTGGGTGCCGTGAATACTTAGGAAAAAGAAATGTAGCCAAAATTCCCACAAACCAAAGCAAATCAGAGCAAGGACATTAACAAATGCATGACATCAACGCTCTGTATACATTATGAAGATTAAAAATGCGAGTCTTATGCACAGATGGCCTACTATATATCTGTGCTGTACCACTGATAACCACGCCTATGATCACGACATTAGGCTCCTCAGAGCCAGGCCGGTAAGGTAAATTTGAATATCATGGGCACTTTTATAATGACAGCACACAACGCAGTGAAGTCAGGGTGATTTTGACGTTGAAGCATTCCTAGTATAACATATTACGGCTTCAGGTGTAGTTTCTTGTGCACATCCAGACAACCCTAATAGTTTTAGGTAAAACTACCTAGAGTTGAGAGATGACCGAACAAGGGGGCATGCCATCACACAGCAGGCATGTTACTGACAGTAGCGAAATCTCACCTTCGAGAGTCGACGGGAAACCGGTGCAGCGAGACGCCAGCCGTGCGGGTGTCGCTTTCACACACTTCCACGGAGCACCGTTTCTTTGCGTATCGCGCTGTGCTCATCGTCGGAAAGGACGTTGAGCCCCTTGGACGCAGTAGCGTCCAAGGTCCAAGCGCACGACTGCCGAGTTCCCGCGCAAGTAACTGGGCTAATCACGCCCGAGCAAACAACAAAACTTCCCAAACGGAGTTAGCTGCCGCTAAAACAATTAAAAGCGTAGAGCACGTGGAGGCCCAAACACAAGCAAGCAGACGGACGTCAGCAGCCTGCCTTTCCGCGCGCCACGAGGTCTACAAAGAACTGCAAATATCGCTATTGCTTGCCGGCCTTTTTGATAGTGGCGCACAGAGGACGCTAATAAGAAGTACGCATAATATTAGCAAAAACAAAGACAGTTTTGAATTTCGTAGCGCGCCAAATATGATTGATAATATCTAATAATTATATTTAGGCTCCAGACTTGTACACGTTACTGAAAAAAAGTAACTGATTACAATTACAATTACTACAGTAAAAAAAGTAACCGATTACCGTTACTGATTACTGCCTCCCAGAAGTAATTGAACAATTACTACAAAGTAATTGATTACTTTTCAAGTTACTTTCACGTTACTTCTTATTGCGATGACAGAAATACACAAATACACAGTAAAATATTGCGTACACAATTTTGTTTCGTTATTGTTCCCTTTTTTATTTTCAGACCCGGACCTTGTCGTGTAGCTGACGCGTCGAACTAAGGAACAAAGCCCACTAAAAAGTCAATAGCGAGTTCCCGCTTCCCGTCGACTTTATCAGCAATCTGCAACGAGATCCGGAACTCCCAAGCCAAGGCTGGTGGCGCGCTTGTAGAAGAGCGTGGCGCAAAAGAAAAAAAGGATTTGCCGACTAATCCTAGTTTTATTTTTTTTAGATGTTAAGAAAATGTCAATCATCTTTGCTCCATGGCTGAGTGACTATGTTGATTTTTGTGAGAAAAAAAAATTGTGGAATGAAAAATGTAATTGGTAATTGTGTAATTGATTTTGTAATTGATTACAGAAAAAAAGTAATTGAATTACTCCGAGCGTTACAGCTTGACAAATGTAATTGAAGCGTTACAAAATTACACTTAACTGTAATTGATTACAAGTAATCAATTACTTGTAACGCGTTACGTACAAGTCTGTATTTAGCTTGTATAAAAATACAAATGATTATACTTATAGTCACAAACTAATAAATTTTAATAATGTTTGTCCCCACCTCTCCTAGTCGCGCTTCAATCGCATCCTTCACGTGACCCTCCAGGCCGATGTCGCTGGCGATTTGTTTTGAACCGCTTTTTGCCCGAAGCTTCGCTACCCATGTGCATATACCTTGGTGTTCGTTCGACGGGCATCCGAAAAGCTGCATCATTCCGCTGCCACCTTGCCCGCCGCTGACGGTGTCGCCGGCGGCCAAACGGCGAAACTGTGTGAGAGCGAAAAGAATTATCTCGTTGCCACGACACCCCGGTACAGGGGTATCCACACGAAGGAGAACTCCGCGGACGGATGTCGTGACGTCAACATCCCGGGAAACCATAGAGTAATATACACAAGGTAAAGAGCGGACACTGCCATAGGCCCCAGCGGCCCAGATAGACCAGTGACAGGTAGCGCTCCTAGCGGGCGGTATTAAGTATAATCTGATTCCGTTTCCGGTCAAGTTAGTTTCGGTTTCGGTTTGGGCGTTTCTGCTCCGGTTCTCCGGTACCCTTCTCTCTCTCTTTCCTCCCCGCCTCGCTGATCTCTCGGGAGCACCTTGACTCCCGAAGCCGCAGTTTTTTTGTTTTTTTTTAATACTGACACACTTTTGTTTTATTTTTTACGATAGTGTCCGTGCAAAATGTGTCAAACAATATTTCAACTTACTTCACAAAGCAGAAGTATATATATTTCTTGTTCTTTTTATATTGTAAAGCATTAAAGTTACACAATCACCGCTTTGACTCCTGGCTGGTGGAGCATTTTGGGGTCAACAACAGTAAGTGGTTCGAACACATTTTATTGGACCACATTCATGTGCACATGATTTACTTCAGAAGCTCTGTATGTTTTGTACAAAAGAGATTGATACTCACAAAAATAAATGAATATGAAGGACTTCGGCATTCGTACACTTCGTAATAGATTCTTAGCGGAACCAAGTTAACAAAACCCTTCCAGAGCATAATAACAGTGCGAAGCACACGCCGGATAGTACAAATTCCCGATTTCCGGCAAATATATAAAAAGAACACTAATTTGCATAGCCTCAAACTCACTGCGGGCGAGCCATTACCAAACAATGAGAACTCTATTCGAAATCTGACAAGATTCAACGTCCCTAAACATTCCCCGAAATTGTTCAGAAAAGAAATATGGCTTCAGAAAAAAGCGGCTAAAAAACTATGGACAGTGGATACAAAAGTGGATACATTTTCTTTCAGATATTGTTAGCCTCTATACACTATTTTCTATCGAATTTTTTTAGAAAGCGGACAAATATTTTTGTTAGGGAGCCGTGATAGACATTCGCTGGAAAAAGGGGAAACAAACATTTAGAGAGCAAGCTGCACCGCCCACTTAATCACTTTTTGTTTTTGGTTTGGCAACCGCCTCTGTTAATACGCTATTAACAGTTAAACCTGTCTCGTTCTTACTAGCCACTGAAGAGTGCAACCGAACTTTGTCCGAATTCCGGTTAAGAAATCAAACATGTGAACACAAGCGTATTCTGCAAAACAATTTTAAAAACCCTTTGTGGTACTCCTCTGGGCAAAGGCGAAAACCACCCAGACCTCAAAGTGTGCTATACAAGGCGGCACACACTCCTCGAACATGTGTCACACTCTCTATTATGGGAAGAAAGTGATTTTCTAGTTGCTGCATGAAATGAAAGGCAGCCTGTGATGGTACTACTAAGTTCCCGAAGAATTTTCCAGGCACGTGGTATGCTTTAGGAACAAGACAGTACTGGTGAGGCCTGGTCAAGTTATTAGACTCATCCGATAGCAGCTGAGAACAGCCACAGCTGTAAGTTGTCTGTTCAAGCAAAAGCTTGATCAAATAGCCCCAAACTTAATAAAAACGTGGACGAGTCATCAATTATGTTAGACCTAATGTCTGATGCCAGCTCAGAAATATCCTCTAGTGGCGGGAAGCTATCAATTGGAAGACATTCCACGATGTCTGAAATTAAACTTTCATGGTGCGAAGATATTTGCAACTCCTTTAGGAGGTCAGCCTTGTCATCTTCTACGTTTTCATTGTCCGACAGTTTGAACAGTTTCTTTATCCAGAGGTGTTCTAGTCCTGAGGTGAACTGATGCACATTTGGGTTTGTGTTGCAGCCCAGCATTTGTCGTATATAACTCCAAAAACGTTCTCAAGTGTGTCTTGCTGCAGACGTCGTGTAAGTAAGAACTTAAAGTCATGGCTGCTTGAAAGCTCATCCCAGAGCATGAGGACACTTTTTATAGTAACTTGCCACCCAATG